CAGGTTAGCATGTTCTGCTGCAGAAAACACATATCATAGATACATATATTTTCTACAACTCTCCTGGAGTTCTTTTGGCTCTCCAGTACTAACAAATAGATGTTTTGTTTTGAAGTTTAAGCAGCGTAAGCAGTGCCTCAGATTACACCTTGGAAATAAATCAGTTCAAGCACTGTTATGTGTTATTTTTAGTCATCTCTCCAAATCCACAACACTGATTAAATATTTGGTCTCACAGCACAGCAGACAAAAGCTGCTAATAACACTAAACCCCAACCTACTGATTTGAACTGAAATTGGTCACTACTAAATAAAAACTGCACGGTCTCTTTTGTAATCTTGCAATAATGAAAAAATAATCCTGTTGTTTTGGACTGAGTCTCAAAGAAAAGAATTCCTTTCCATCCAAACAGATGTTTACTCATGTTTTGAATCTGTGTGAGGCAGGGAAACCAAGTACAGGCTTTCCCTTCTTGCTTCCCCTCCTGCCCACGTGCTCTTTCACCATCTGTATATGATCAGGGCCAGCCTTTCCCTTCCAACCCGCTGAAAAGCATGCTAGAATTCCTCCCAAACATGTCTCTTGTCCTTGTTTTGTCCTCTGAAACAGCTTTAAAGTAACTCTAGAGACTTGGAAATCTATGCTGTAGCAGATTACCCGACCCTACTTGGAATCTCTTTTTACTGTATGTTAGATTTAATGACAGATTTAATAAAAGAGTAGCACCACCATGTAATCTTGTAGCAGACATTTTAAAATTCAGGTGTATATTTATCAACATGTGTCTATTTCCACTCTGAAGGATGACATGCTTATTATATAATCATCAGAAAGCTAGCGATCCAATTGCCTTTTAACTAAGCATTTAAAAGAATCATCCTCGCAAAAAGTATAGCTGAGAGTGCAGTAGCCCTAAACTCACTGATGCAACATCTCCATGAAGCAGAGCAATCTCAGCTCTCACTCTGTTCTAGCAACATTCTTCTATTGAAAGCAACATTCCAGGTACCTTCCCATTATATAAGGGATCCTGGCCACCAGTGAAAACCTAACAGCAGTTTTCTTGTGCCTCCAGCTGGCTCATGTGGCTACAGCTGCATGACATCCATTCCAAGACCCACTTGTTGAGTGACATAGAAACTTGTGGCTTCCAGGGACCGTGCTGGTAAACATTGGGTTCGCTTAAATGTAATACAAAGCCACTCCCCAAGGGCCTCCCTTAGTAGAGGGAGAAATTAGGGAGCTACTTTTTCCCTTCATGCTGGGAAGCACCTCTTTCCTGAACTGCCTCTGTGCCTCCCTGAGCTGTGTGTGACAAGGAGGACACTGTCACTTCCTCCACTACAAACTACCACATCTACATCTGCCCTGAGGTTTGCCCATGTGCTCCCCACTTCAGCAACTACTCTGAGGACTGCTGCTCTGTTCAGCCTGTAAATCCATGCGCTGACAAGTTCACTACTCACATTTCTACATGGCCATGCCAAGCCACCAAGCTATTACATAATGTCCTCTCCACTGTTCAGGATGTTCCTCATCACGTCCTCTGGGAGTTCAGTGCCTTGAGCTCAAAGGCGTTAAGGTAAGGAGATGGTGAGCAATGTGGTCAACGCTCAGCTCATGAAGATCACACACCAGTTAGTCAGTCTGCAGGAAACTTCACTGTGACTGCTGTTTACACTGACTGGTGTTTACACTTTGAACAGCAAAAACTAGAAACTCCCTTCTAAGAAAAATTAGCTTCTCAGAGTCCACCAAGGTGCTCAACGTTGTAGACACGTGACTATTAATGTCATTGATGCTCCTCTGCTAAGTCTTAAAATGCACACTGCGTGTCTGGGGAGGAAGCACTTGCAGAAGTGCAGCTGTGCCTCAGGCATTGTTTTTTTTCTCTGATGACACACTGCTACCTAGTCCCTGAGCTATCTGCAAGTATTTGCCAGAGGTTCCCAGTTCTGTGTTCTCAAAACTTACTGTAATGCACATAACACAGTTCCAGCTCTGCTGGGCACTGTGCAATATACAGCCCAGCATTTGCAAAGCTTGCACATACAGACACAGATGCTAATAGCTTCTTTCAAAATGGAAACAGCAGCAGAAATAACAAGGTTTTCAGGAACATAATGCAACAAACAGAATCACAGCACTACCATCACTGTGGGTGTTTCCAAATTCTAAAGAAATGGGTATTACTAATGGAATAAACAGACAGAAAGCCAAAATAGAATAGTGTTCTTTCATGCCTCCACCATTTAGGATCAAAACCAGTCTCTAGTTTGTCCATGCCTGAGCTTTTCTCCCTCTCCCTTCTACTGCACAGAAATCACTGCTGCAGACATTGGTTCTTGGAGCAGTGTAATCTGCAAAGAGAAAGCCCATTTGGAGTGCAGGCACAATCACACCAGATTAACACGCTGCCTGGAAAGAACATGCTCTGCTCCTGCATCTTTGCAATAACTCGTTAGTTAACACAGCAACCCTGGCAGCAAGTAGCAGAATTAAGTCTGAGATTTTTTACATTCTAAATTCGTGTCATACTGCTCTAATTGTACTTGTATGGAACTGAGCTGAAGGGGGCTGCTGGACTCCCTCCATTCAAAGTAGCACAGTGGCAGAACCAGGCATCCCATAGGGACAGGACTCCAGCAGAGTCATAGCCTGCCTACTTCTTGAGACAATTCCTGCTCTAAAATCACTTCTGTCTTCCAGTATCCCCAGCACGTCAAATATAAAAGCTTAGCTCTTCCATCACATCGTATTCTATACAAAAAATCTTTGTGTATGGCCGAGGAACATCTGCCAAGGGAAAAGCTGAAACTGGCAGTGGCAGTTGATGGCATAATTCCCCTCACTAGGTCAAGTCATGCCAGACACGTGCACGGGACCAATTCCATGTTGTAGCAGCAAGGTTTTAGAGATGAGGTGCTGAGGTATCCATACGCATATCAGATCTCACATTGCAGAAGGAGGGTGCCTCGAAGACAGAGCACCTTTATTTTCTATGCAAATCAAAGAGACAATTTTAAATAATCCACTATACAGCATCCAGCAAATTTTTTAAAACTTCCCATTTTGTTGGCCTGTAGAAAAGCAACTGTTAAATAATCAAAATGTTATGTCTGAGAGCTTTTCAGAAAACCTCTGCTTTGCAGAATTCAAATACACCATTAAGTACTTTTAAATAGCCTGATTGGAAAAATGACATCATTGGATTTTCTCAACACTTGGTGCGTCAGCTCGCAGTGCCTTACAGCCTTATAAATAGACACTTGGACCACTTCAGCACAATTCATGTATGAAGTTTTTCCATAATCCACTTAACTCTATTATTCAAGTGAAGTACAACTGGATCTTTTCTTGGAAACAGGAATTATGCAACACTAAGTACAGGAGGCTCAAGAAAAACAGTAAAGCCAAACACGAGCTGCAAACATCTGCAAAGAAGCAGAGTTTGTCTCTATTTATACGTCGGGTTTCCCTTTCTTTTTTCCCCTTACATCCTCTAGCTCCTTTAAAATTTTGATTTCTCATAGAATCATAGAATGGCCTGGGTTGAAAAGGACCACAATGATCACCTAGTTTCAACCCCCCTGCTATGTGCAGGGTCTCCAACCAGCAGACCAGCCTGCCCAGAGCCACATCCAGCCTGGCCTTGAATGCCTCCAGGGATGGGGCATCCACAACCTCCTTAGGTAATGTGTTCCACTGCATCACCGTCCTCTGTGTAAAAAACTTCCTCCTAATACCTAACCTAAACCTCCCCTGCCCCAGTTTAAAAGCATTCCTTGTCCTATCACTATCCACCCTCATAATCCTCCCTCATATCCACAACTTGTTTAAATGCTCCCTTCAAGTACTGGAAGGCCACAATGAGGTCTCCCCGGAGCCTTCTCTTTCCCAAACTAAACAAGCCCAGTTCCTCAACCTTTCTTCATAGGAGCCCTCTGATCATCCTAGTGGCCCTCCTATAGACCCGTTCCAAGAGTTCCACATCTTTCTTGTGCTGGTTTTCAAACTGGTTTCTCTGATGTCTTGAGATGTGTGACCTAGCACTTACAACGGCCAACTGACTAATAATTAAAACATAATTGCAGTATGATCACAACTTCAAAATAGATCCGTATGGTGCTAAGAACTTTTCCTTCAAACCTGTATATTACTGATGAGATTTTACCAAAACCAGCTGATTTGTGGAGTTAGTAAGAAAAGCAAAATACGCATACTTTCAGATGAGTGGTGGCCAAATAACATGAGCATAGCTTTCCACAAACTGAAAAGTTATTTTGTGATATTTACAAAAAGTAACTGCAATTCATACGCTCCCTTAGCCTTCCAAAAGGCCTTCTTCCATTTACATTCATTTAGAAAACATAGATATTAAATTCAGCAACAAGAGCTCTCAATGCAACATTTGAAAACACACCAACATAACACACAACATAACTCATACACAAATGCATCTATAGGCACCTACAACATTTAAGGATGAACTTCATTATCTGTGTCTTTTCTTGCCCTATATACTAAATAAAACAGTCATTCAATTAGCATAAACCACTCTGACAAAAACAGGCCCGTGAAAGAGCTGCATACAGAATTTGCTAAAAAACATACAGCATAGAAGGCTGCTGCAGGCTGATGGTTGGCACCACGGGAGAAACAGTTTAGGAACTGTCTTTCCTTTCCATAAAGTCAAACTCTCTGGAATTTGGCACCATGAAACACATAGGTAGGGAGGAGAGGCCTTCCCAAGCAGAAGGAGTAACTCCATCAGGAATCAGAAGTACTGGGGCACTGCCAAAGAGCACAGGGATTCCACACAGCTGACGGCTCCTCTCCAAAGCATCTTCTGTGGTGAAGACATACAACAATGAAAGTAAGCCCGGAGGAACCAGGACCCAGAAAACATATTCTTCAGCCCACCCCAATTCTTAGATTTCACCACCACTGGACTGTCTGTCACCAGAACTCAGAATGGGAAAGTGCTTAAGCCAAGTACTGCTAACCATCAGCATTTTAATGAGAATCAACTCCTGAAGTGAATTCCTAATTCTCTTCAAATGACCATTCCCATTCTCTGTTTTCACCCAACACATCACTGTGTAAAATGCTAGTTTCAGAAAAAATATCCCCTTACAAACATATATTACAAACCTCTTTCTTGCAACGAAGTGCCACTTCTGAATTGTTCTGTTTTCAGTTTTAAGTGCTGAGACACACACACAGTACCATGGCTGTGCCTCTACCATTCAGGTAAGATTCACTGTCAGTTTTTAGGAAACAGCTGACATAATTACACTTTTCTTCTCCACAAGGCTATCTGAAAGAACCTAAAGGAAATAATCTAGAAATCCAACTTGCTACTGAAACAAAACTGTGTAGAGTTATATCCACTCTGTAACACAAAAAGGGAGGGTTCGGCCTGAATTTATACAGAAACCTGAGAAATTTCAAAGGGGTATATTTCAAAATAGAAAATATATTGCCCATACAATTATGCAAAAACAGAATCAACCAATACAACCTCTTATTTTAAGATGTAACAGTCATAAGTTATTACGAGCTTAACTTGGAATGCACAGAAATTAAGATATTAACTCATAATCGTAATTGATAATTTCTTAATTACCTCTTATGTCTAACGCAGACAAATAAGCCAACAAAATGTAAGAAAGCCCCCTCTTCAGAAGATATTAAGTACTTTACTGCATACGACTGCAAACACCTCATACAGACAGTACATGTTGGGAAGTTTACACAAGGAATCTAACATTTCTCCAACCTTGATTTCACAGTGCTCCTCTTCATAATAAAAAAAAAAAAAAGAACTGCACGTCTGCTCCGCTAAATAACGCTAGAAAAGTCAGCTGAACTGGATTAGCCTACCTATATAGACAATATCATCAGTTAGGAACACATGGCTGGGGTTTAGAGATTAGCCCACAAGTGATTTTTGTCTTATTTAACTCCAGTTTCTAGAAATGGGTAATGAGATCTATCTTGTTACTGTTTCACATGGAGGTTCCTGCTATTATACTCTCAAGCCCTAACCACGTCTAAATGTTTGCTTTTTGAAGAAATGAAGATTGTACCTGGACTTCTTTCACCCGTTGACTCCCAGACTCATTAAAAAAAAAAGAAAAAAAGCAAGCTTACAAGTCCTACAAAAACATAAATTCGCTTGATGAATGTGAGTTTAATAGCTGACTCCTTCTGGGACCTATGATGATTTCGGCATCCGTTTGAAGCACTAGCAGCACCAAGTCTAGAGCTCTCCGCCACGCCTCCATCTTGGCTGTAACATTATCATAAGCCTTTACACCCTCTTCACTGTCAGTGAAAGGGATAGAACCACCTCTGAACATACCACCTCTTCTGAACTCTTTCAGTACATATGCTGAGGGAGAGCCACAGTAAGCTGCTTTTTGGAGGTGATGATCAATTAAGGTACGTGCTTCAAACTCTGATGCTGCTTTTGCAGTGTTGCACATAACCATGGAAAGATACTGGTTCCAGCCAGCAGCTAGTGCTTGAAGCACAATTGCTTTATACTCTGATGAAGATGCTGCCAGCCTAGGACTATGAAACTCCTTCACAGCATTTTTATCTGCTAGCTTTGAAGACTGCTCTGCAAGCATCTGAATGTGACTAAGACATAAGAACTCAACAGCACCACCACCAGGAAAAACCTTCCCATCCTTTAAAGCATGATGGAGTCGATAGACAAAAGTCCAAAACTGGTCTTCAATGAGCTGCATTTTTGAAGCTACTGTGGTGGTGAGCACGGCTGTCAGCAGGGGAATTCTTTGCACTTTTATCGTGACTGGCACAAGCTGACCCAGTTCCATTGCACGCTCGTCACAGCCCTTCCACAGCTCTACCCAGACCCCGCTCCCCAGGCAAGCAGCATTCAGCTGAGTGAGGTATGTCACGGGCTGGGCACCAGTCACCTCCCCAAAGGCACTCAAAACATTCTGAGTCACTGAACTAATTACCAATATATTGTTTGCGATGCATCTTTCCATTAAGTTTTTACACACAGCTCCTTTGACCAAAACCAAGTTTACTTCCAAGCTTATTAGAATATCTAACGTACTGCTTAGCCACGAGTCTCTTGATCCACCTTCCTGTAGGCTAGGATACTCCAATACGGTCTTTACATTCCGTGGCTTAGTGAAACCCAAGTGACGATACTGTTCGGTTAGGTCACCATCCATTAGCAGAATCCAAAGGGATTTGTCCCGAAAGTATGTGATAACTGTGGCTTGTTCTGGTGAAACCAGAGTGATAAAACCTGGGCAAACACAAGAGTAACTTTCAGGCAGACCTGGTAAACAGCATGTTGCAATTTCTGCGATCCTGAACTGAGAAGAGCCACTACATTCTGCTCTCTCGTGTTGATATGCAACAATGCCTTGAAGCAGTTTCATGCTAGGCTGATTACCATGACTTAGAGCCATTGCAAGGTGTTCTAAACCATAACATTCACAAGTATATGCTGACTGTCCTGAGAGGTATACCTGAGAATCATGTAGGTGACTTGAAACATGGCTTTTTGCTACGGTGCTGAAGTATCTGCTGTGAGTTAATACTTTTTGCTTACAGATGGATGCAGAGACACCACTTCCAGAAATCACAGATGTACTTTTGTCATCCACTGACCTGACAAGGGAAGCTACTGAACCAAAACTGGCCAAAGGCCAAACCAGGCCCTTATTAAAATTACAATCAGCTTCCTGAGGGAAACAAGAATTTCTTGGAACAAGTTCTTCTGATGCAGAAATATCTTTCTGAAAATACAGAGAAATCTGATGATTTAGAGAACTGTCACATGGAATTTGGGAAACTTTACTTTCAGAAGTTCTTGGCCTAACACTGCTAGAACACAGCTCTTTGTTTACATCATGTATTGATATTTGAAGACACTGGACTTTCTCACAGCAAGAGTCCAACCCCTCAGACATCACAGATACTATTGCTGAAACAGGAACATTCTGCTGGAGGCATTCCAGTACAGCATTACTCCACGCACCAACAAGGAACAACAGGGTACTCATCCCAGTTTTAAATTCCTTGTTTTGGGCCTGAATGGTTTCATTAAGAAGCTGTCCAGCAGCACTAGTTAAATCCAAACTTTCCATCAGTCTAACAGCAGAACAAATCAACATGCTTTCGTTGGTGCTTTCATCCACAACAAATTTACAGGATTTCATTGGTCCCAATAATGTTCGTCCAGCCCACGCCAAGGATGAGAGCTGCTGGAGTCCAATATGTCTTCTTGAATTCACAGCCCTGAAAGCCATGGCCAGTGTGCAGCATCTGGGAACAGAACACAAACTTACTGTCCCATCCTCATAGTATTCCAGAGAACACATAACAAAATATACTAAATTAACAATTTCATACAATAGAACCATAGAATCACAAGATTGGAAAGGACCTACAAGATCAGCTAGTCCAACCGCCCTCCCATTACCACTGCTACCACAAGCCTCTAAACTCTATCTCGTAGCTCCTCAACCAGACACCTCTTGAACACTACTAGGAAGGCAACTCCACCACCTCCCTGGGTTTTGTTTAACTGAACAGAGCTCTCCAGTGAGATATTCCACAAAAATCTTTTATCTTGTGCATTTATTTTGAGACAGCAACTCACAGACTTGCTGAAAAGATGCACTGCTAAAATATCATGGATTTTTGTGTGTGTGTGTGTGTGTGTGAGAGAGAGAGAGAGAGAGAGAGAGAGAGAGAGAGACAGGTAGTAAAAAGCTATTGATTCCAGTGGTTTCTTAAACGTGGAACAGTACAGATCTAACAGAACTTCCAGTTCTGTTGTGACCTGTTATCTGGAATTAGAACAAAAGTAGGGCTGAATAGACAATTATACACAACACCATTGGCCTGGTACAGATCCATCTTGGTACTATTAGTTATGCCATTGAATTTAACTTTCAAATATGGAAAAACATAAAACTTATTTTATTCCAAATTCTATTCATTCCATTTAACATACATTGATACTCCATTTAAGTCTTTCAAGTTTTGGTTGACTACTCAGCTTTAACACACCAAAAATAAATTTTCTCTCCCTTAAAATCCTTTCCACACCACACTCCTGTGGGAAACCACATGGATTAAGCTAAAGCTTTTCTTTTTTTTTTTTTAAATGAAAAAGTATATACACCAAAAATTAGGAAGTCGTAACTCATACACCTTTTCTGTCCAGATTCAAATAATACTTCATCTCTCTGAAGGTCTCTTCGCAGAACTATTCCAAAATCAAAACCTTTTTTGCTACTACATTCAGTGAAAGTTCATCCACATACTAGCTCAAAAAAAAAACCAAGCGGGAATTTAAAGAGTAGCATTGGCCATCAACATAACCTTTATATGGCAACAACCTTCATGTTCACTCCAAACTGCCAATAGAACTTCAATTGCTAGATACTCCTGAAGTATCAAAACAAATATTAATGAAGAAATTACATTGTTTTGTAGTTACCTGCAATCCCTCCTTCTGGCTTTAAAACTGCACTGGAAGTACACTACTGAAAATATCCATCCAAATTCCTTAAAGCCTTTCTCTGGAAATTTTTCTTGGCTGTCTTTTTTCTAGGCATGCTATGCAACCACAGCAGTATTTCCAGTAAAAATATTTTTTTAAGCCTTATTTTTTTTTCTTTGCCCTTAAATGAAACCTTAACTTAAAATCACAACTAGACTGTTTTGAAACAATGACCAAATTAAATAACAATCATTAGATCATGGAATCCGATATGAAACATGATGAAATGAAACAGGCAGAAACTGGAACACAGGAAGTTCCATACTAATAGTGGAACAAAGTTTGTTACTGTCAGAGTAATGGGGCATTGGAACAGGCTGTCCAGAGAGGTTGCCCAGCCTCCCTTGGATCCAAATGGACACTTTCCAATCCAACTGGCTGCAGGAAGCATGCTTTAGCAGGGAGATTGGACTTGTTGATCTCTAGAGGTTCCTCCCAACCCATACAGTTCTGTGAGTCCATGAGAATCGCAGCAGGTTACAAGATGGATTGCACAGCTAATGCAGCTATCAAAGCCATGCACTTTGAAATCTCAAGGCAGCCAAAAGGATATACTTAGCTAAAATTCACTCTGAAGTTTTACTTGAAAAATGTGTCTTTCACTTTCAGCTTATACTCATAATAACAAGCTTTGTTCTGGGCACCAGCCTGCTCTCCTGCAGATACATAAACCTGCACTGAATGGGCCCAACGACTTGGCTGCAAAAGTAGATGAAAGCAGGACATGCACTTATAGGAAAATACGCTCGTATTTTGTTGCTTGCACAACCTCTGACACGTGCAATCCAGACAATTTTCCACCTTTTTGTTTTACGTGTTATTTTGGCAAGAAGATGGAGCTAGGAACGAACACGCTCCAGAGATCAACGTAAAGCAGACCCCCGTTTAACTTCTCCCCCCGCTTACCCCTTACCTCTTTGTCCGTTCAGCCCGAGGCGTAAAAGCTGAGATGGAGCTCAGCAGAGGGGAGGAGGGATCCCGCAGAGCCGCTCAATAAACGAGACCAGCGCTGAGGACAGCCGCGGCCGCATACGGGGCCTCCTCTACCTGCACGCCGCGTCCCGCAGCAGGTGGCCGAAAGCAAAGGGCGGACACGCGGCTGGGCTCGGGACCGCTCGTCACGTTCGCACACGGCGTTTTTAGGACTCGCCAGTACAGAACCGGACGGGTACGAGAGCCGGGCCCCACACTCACTGCGTAGCTTCGCACACGTGCTAGAGGCCTGCCCGCCAGAGGAAGGCCCCGGTTCCTCAGCGCTTCGCTACGGCCTCCCTTCTCCCCTCACCGCCCGCCCCTCGGGATTCCCGCGGCGGCCCAACGGCGGCGAGACGGACCGAGCCGCGCGCTCACAGCCGCTCCGTTGCCATGACAGCAATCCCGCCGCCGTTGCGCGGCGAGCGCGGCGCGCTCGTGGCGTCACGAGCCCACCGAACCTCCATTGGTCCCGACGAAGCAGGCGGGCGGGCCTCCGGCACATCCGGCTCGCCGATTGGTCGGCTCGCTGTCGAGTGTGCGGCGGTGGGGAGCTCGTCTCGGCGTCCCGTGTGATCCCGGCGCGGTGCGGCCGCAAGCAGATGGTGAGCGCTTTCCCCTTCCCCTACGCCAGGCTGGCTGCGCGCGGCCCGCGCCGCTCCGCCTCAAAGAGCCTGCAGGGTGCGGGGGATGGCCGGGCCCTCACCGCGCTGCCTCCCGGGCCGCAGCGTCCCCACCTGAGGAGCGTGGCGGGCCCGCAGCGTCCAGCCGCTCAGACCTGCGCCGCGGGGACGCGCTGGTTTGCAGTACGACCAGGGAAGCACCGAATGCCTTTGCCCCAACGGAGCCGATGCTCTCAGGCCTCCCATTTCAGTACTGAAGTTGAGGACTGTCTAAATTTGTGTGCCTCTTCCCGTCACGACCCATATAAGCGGTTCATTTTGAGGCTGTCTCCCGCTTTCTGTAGCATTCCCTTCAACTGGCAGTCTTTCTGCTAAGAGCTGAACACGGGAAGCTCGGATACTTCTTCCCTCAGAACAAAGTCTTCAGCTCGGTTTCTTCCTGGAATAATCTAGGAAAACGCACATAGAAACCCAGTTGCAGTCGACCAGGTGCAGCAAAGAATGTTTCTCACTTTGCTACACCTTTACTGTTACTTATAATTTAATTTTGTTTTGACTTTTTTTCTGAGTGAGCTCTTTCTCATTTTTCTTCTTTCTGAAGGCGTCCAACTATAGAAAACCTGGCTTCAGTACAGCCCAGCGAAAGAAAAGTGGCTTGAAACCTGAACTTACAGAAGAGCAAAAGCAGGAGATCAGAGAAGCTTTTGATCTGTTTGATACTGATGGATCTGGAAGCATCGATATAAAAGAACTCAAGGTTTTCAAAGTTTTTTTTTTCTTGATTGGAAGTATCACGGGTCACAAGATTGCAGCTGCTTTTTCTATTTGCCCAGGCCTAACTTGCTCTGTTTTAAAATACTGGTTTATAAAAAGCAGTAATGCTTACTGCTTAATGCTTACTGGTTTATGAATAGCAGTAATGCTTACTGCCATGACTGAACTTGGGGTGTACTACATGGGTAACCTGAGAAACCTGTATGTAATAGACAGCTGCCAGACTTCTCTAATGCAAGCATAATTGGTCAGGTAGTTTTGAATGCCTGGGCATGAGAGGAACTTAACAGTTCCTGAACTAACTGTATGCATTTCTGTTTTCATGACTGGCTAAGGCCATTGTTTCTGGGAACTGGAATTCTTTTGTTTTAGGATGAATACCAGAACACAAAATGTTTTCTTCATCCTGGAGGTAAACACACAGATCTTGCACTTACTCCGGAAAGATGCTACTATTTTTTTATACATACAATCCACAGATTATCTGTTCTTTTATTTAATAAAGAACAAAACAGAGATGTGAGTTGGACTTCAGTTGGGCATTTGGGCAGTATCTGTGTGTGCATGCACACGGTGGTACAAGGGGAAATTTACTTTCTGTTATGTTTTCCCTACCAGCGCCTCATTTTTTTTTTCCCCAAGCCTGAACATTTTATCTTCTTGACCTTGATTCCTCACATAGAAGCACATTACCTCTGCTTCTGCACACATTACCTAAAAGTACAGCGTTGTCTAAACTGTAGCTTAATAATTCAGGATTTATCTGGTTGTACTTGTACTTGATTAAGGTGACTGTGTTATCTGAACACAGTTTATACCTGTGAAAATATAGTTCTTAAAATGGACTGAACTGGTGTAGCACCAACCACCTCATGCTGTGTTTTACTTTTTGAAAATTAATTCCAAAATATGGATACTTTACAATAGAAAATGGCCCCCTCTGAAAGACAAAGTAGAATATTTTGAGTTATCCCATCACAAGGCATTAGTCAGAAAACACACGTCAGATAAATGTGAAGTTTTTAGTGACTTAACACTTTCCAATAGAAAAATGTTTACCATGAACATTTCTGCCACTGTTTCCAGCATGTCATACAGAAGGAATCAATATTAACTGAACAAATCCTCCTCAAGTTGCATGTTCTTGAAACTTCAGTTTCTAAATGAAATATCCTGTAATCATTTGGCACACCAGGACCAGCAAATTACTAGTCTTTTTTTTTTTTTTTTTTTTTTTCAGTAGTGAAGTAAATGTTGTAGGCTGGTAGAAGAGCAGAGTTTGGTTTAAACAACATTAAGCTTTTATACAACCCTCTAAACCGCAACACCCACTTTTATAGTAGTACTTTGCTTGTGCTCTGTAAGACTCAAAGTTTGCTTTTCTTTTCCTTAGTCCAGCAGTAATTGAGTGATGATTTGCTGAGGCAAAGATTTATGGAGTGTTGTCAGTTGCCCCCACTCCCAAACATGTAACCAAAAGTGCCAAGAGCTGTCCTCCTGGATTTCTTTTATCTGTTCACTTGACTGTATAAGTTAATATCATGTAATTTGGAAGACATCAAAATTAAAAGGCATTCTGCCTGCTATTTCTGATGAATTGAGATTACAACCCTGATTGCACTTCTCCCCTTTCCCCTCCAAGTCCTGTCTTGAGAATCCAGTCCTTTTAGGAACCATGCTGAAAAGTAATGTGTAGATCAGAAAAGTAGATTAGACACAAAAAGTTTCTCAGGTTCAAGAATACATCTATGTTCCACATGGACCCAAAGAGACAATACATGAGTCTTACAAACATCAAATCTACTCTATTACTAATATGAAAGATAAAACACACAGGCAAGAGCTATCAGAATGTCTTCCTTAAAGTGACTTGTTATTACAGTTTGGAAGAGGAAATTCGTGTAGCTGCTGCCTTTAGAATTCTGGTGGCCTCCTAACACAATTGCTTTTTGGCACAGGTTGCGATGCGTGCTTTAGGCTTTGAGCCAAAGAAAGAAGAAATTAAGAAAATGATAGCAGATATTGACAAAGAAGGAAGTGGCACCATTGACTTTGAAGACTTTTTGGCTATGATGACACAAAAAATGGTAGGAGTTCTTAAAAATACATCTATATAATCTTGGGACAGCATAAAGAATACTATAAAAGGATGTATCACATTAGCAGGTGTTTTGTAAGTAACAAATATTTTACTCTCCTTCTAGAGTGAAAAGGATTCAAAGGAAGAAATTTTGAAAGCTTTCAGATTATTCGATGATGATGGGACAGGAAAGATTTCATTCAAAAACTTGAAAAGGGTTGCCAAGGAGCTGGGAGAAAATTTAACCGATGAAGAGCTTCAGGTAAATTTAATTTGCCAGAGCTTTCCCAGCCCCTGGAGTTCCTAAGGACAGGGTGGGAAATTCATGCAATACAGAAAGAGCTGAGAGGTTAGAGATGTGCAGAATAATAAAATACATGGTTCTGTTTTCTTATTAAGTACTTCTGTTCTCTTGTTTTTTAATGAATAGAAGGTCTTAAGTTTAGATTCAAGCCCAGTGCCTGATCAGATATACTCTGTTTTGTAGGAAATGATTGATGAAGCTGATCGAGATGGAGATGGAGAAGTAAGTGAGCAAGAATTTTTGAGAATCATGAAGAAAACTAGCTTATATTAAGATTTGTTGCCTTACAGCTGTTCCAAAAGACGACAGGGAAAAGACTTAAAAATGGGTTTGTGTCTCCTGCCTATTATTATGCTATGTAATGAAAGTCTGAAAAGACAGATTTTCATCCCATTCTTCTCTTTCACCAAAGTTAGTTGCTGGGAGGGGGCTCTGGTACCCAACAAACTGTTCAAGTGAGATACTGCAGAAATTAAACAAAAATATTGCAGAAATGAAAAGGAAGGATGAGTGAGCTGGCAAGGCAGGGTCCCTTTCTCCTCAGGCTCCCAGATGAAGATTTCACTAATTGCCATTTTGGATAAAGAATGCTGTGTCTTACGTAGATAATTAAAACAACCTGAAAACATTTCACTTGGGTTGCAAAGATTACTGCTGTTTCTTGGAGAAGCCAAGTCTCACCTTCCCAAGGCTACATGATAAAGAGATCATCTCATAACACCTTAAAGAACCACAGTACAATATTTTTATTCCTTTTAAGGCTTTTAGGTTATTTTTGTGTCCTTTTGTTTATTTCCATGAAAGTCTCAGAAATCAACTGCATATTTATATTTATTTCTGTATTAAACACTGTATTCTCCTGGCAAGTTCATTTTGCACCTAGTGGGAAACAAACATATATAACTAGTTTTTGGTTCTTCGTTCCAAGCAGAATGCCATCAGTAAACAGTCTTTTCTTTAACTATTTCATGATCTGAAAACTGGCTTACTTGAGTCTTACCTGCTTGGATTTTCAAAGTTTATAGTATGACCAGTCAACATCTTGTGCCATTGCTCTTACTCCAGAGACTTTGCAGAATTGTTACTATGCCATGATTTTAAGTACTTAAGGAAAGCACAGTTCGAGGGCACAGTAGAGGAAGTTCTCTCTAGCTATTTAGAGTCAAGTAGCAGAGAGGAGTTGCATCTGAAGTGAAAAAATAGCTCACTTTGGGTACCTGTGGATGTATTTAGATCCATGCAATCCAAATTCATTTCAGGTATCGCACCCTTTTTTATTCTTATTAAGTACTTCCAGTTTTTAAATATTTCTTGTATATAATATCAATCCAGAACTGGAGAGCCACACTTCCATCCTATTGTGACATAGCAGCAATGCACAGCCTGAAATCTGATTATTTGCTTAGGCAAGGTGGATTTATCCTTGTGTCATGATACAGCATTCAGCCTGGGGAAACTATACTTTAATCCACATCTCTGTTTGGCTCCTTGTTACAGCTGCCTCAGTTCTGATGAGCTGTAAGGGCCCACCATGGGGAGAGTTACTTTCAGTAGCGGAAAGGGGAAGTGTTTATTGACACTTCTCCTTAGCATGCAAATGTGGAGCTGGCATGTAGTCCTCTGAGTTTCATACTCTGAACTGCTCTCTGACTAGACCCTCTCTAACCTACACAGTAGGCTTAAGCCTGCTCACAGCCCTAACAAGCTCAGAGATCTGTGAAGTCCACTATTCAGAGGTTCAGTGGCAGTAGATGTAAGCTAGAGTACTGTGAGCTTTTTAAAATGTGTATTAACTTTGTATAGTGTGAAATAAAACTGTTTTGTGAGTTAACGACTGTGTAACTGTTTGTGTGTTTAATAACTTACACTTGCAAAACTACATTTTCAAAAATAATTTTGAAGCGTTAAGCAGTTCACCAAGTATGCATTTCCTTTATCTTTTCTTTTAGAGGGAGAAATTCCTAGTTGCAATAGTCTTTCCTTCTTCTGCTGTGCTGATTAAAAGTTTCTAGTACTAACCACTTCTAATCAGAAAGGGAAATTTCAAGTTCTAGTTGATGCTGGGGAATCCCAGAGCTGATTGGAGTGACTGTACTTTTAATACTGTCACAGGAAGAGATTGATGACTGCTGTTTACCTATGATGCATGTCACATCTCTCTTCCTGTTCTAATCCTGTTACTTGACTTCGGAAGGTAGGAAAAAGATACACAGTCATACATACTGCTGAGGAAATTTCATTTCTGGCTTGCACATTAATTTCTTAAGTCTGGAATGTTGGACCGTGCCTGAATTAGCACAGAACTTACAAATGTTAACGTAACAGAACAAGTGTCTCATGCTGCTTTAGTCTGCGTTATAGTGAGAGATATCTTGCCTTCTCTTCAGCCACAGACACCACGTATGATGACTATCAGCAACTTTGGCAGCAGCCCACAGAAGTGCTGTGGTTCTGTGCAAATTGTTTTCATAGAATCATTGTCACTGTGAGTCCTTCCACACCTTAAAGAATTTCTTGTTTACATTTCTATAGCTGGTGGTGGAAAAGGAGCCTGACTGAAGCCAATGCTGAGCTCAGAGTTAAGTTTCTGTGGGGAACCAGTGCTGAGCTGCACAATTATGCTTCTACTGGGCTGGCAACATTCTGCTCAGTGAATTGTGAAAATACTCTGCAGATGTTTTTCCCAGACTCTGCCCTAGCGGCTTATCCTAAATAAAAGTTTCACTAGAGAAGACAGATTACTTGCACCCCCTCCCACTCTTCACTCTATATTCAAAAATACACTAACCTAAGAAGTTAGAGCACTTCTCAGAGACCTGGATTCAATACTTCAGCACTAAAACTCTGAAATGGAGGCAAAACAGTGTTTCAGGTTTCCTTGCGGAAAGAGACTCATCTCTAAAAGCACCTGAATCCAAGAGAAATCACCAGTATGTGCACACAGAGACCAGCACCTGATGCTGAGCAGATAGCTTCATTCCTGAGCCAGAAGCAGATGGCTGTGAGCTCCGTTCTATGCATCCCTTTACCTCTTCGTGCTGAGAGGGGGGCAGGTTCTTACCTGGCCATTGCAATTCCACTTGGACAGCTGTAGTTCAGATGTATTTCCAGCTGGAACCCTCCTCCTCGACACGAGCAAAGCTGGACTTCTAGTTTGAGTTTCTGTTGGAAACTGGACAAAATGGAAAGTGGAACTGTTATTTGTGTTTGGCAAGCACCTAAATATCAAAGTGTTGATAGAGGATAATAGTTGCTTGGGAAATAATGTTGCAAATTACATCCAACAAAAAATGCTTTCATATGAAAATGCACTGGGATTTTAATAGATGCCAAGTAGTTCAAAAGAAAAAAAAATGTTACGTAGAAGTTAAATTCCAAAACATGCCAAATGGATGGCTATTTTAGATTAATCCTTCCTGCTATCTTCCCCATGCAACTTGAAGTTGTTATCTCTCAGTCTTACAGTCCTGCACAGTAAAGGGAAAGTTGGCTTTAGAGAAGCAGAAGTGAAAAAAAAAGTTCCTATGATGCTCCAAAACACAAGTTCTCTTTCCAAGCTTAGTTACATATACTAACAGAAACCAGCCACAGCTGCCTGATGCATTTACAGCACTCAGGCACAGAGAGTGAATAACGAGTTCAGGGTGTTCCTCAGACACTGGAGGCACACCTGGCTGAGTGGCTCCAGCAAAAAGAAGACAACAATCACCCCTTTTCTACAGCTCAGAGTGACTGTGAAGGGCCACACTGAGCAGGCATGGAGTTCTGATTTCAGTGGGCATTCCACACACTGCTCAACTACAGGATGTGCACTCCTCCATCTCTACAGGAAGATGTGTAAGTCTTTCCAGTTCTCTCTATGGTAGTAAAGAACTGATAGATCTCAGAGTCTGGCAGTCTCGCTAGAGGGCATCCAGTTACTAATGTGCGGGTGATGCTAATTTCTCTTCTCTGTGGCTTTTAACAATGATCAAAAGTAGGCTAACAAATACCAGCCTGCTGGAGCTTGAAATACGCAGTTGGATACCAATTTTTTTGCTTCTTTCTTTGTTAAAGAACGCAGCACTTTTCAGGGAACTCCAGCACAAAATATTCTAATTAGCTGCTTGTTCAAAGCTAAGCCCCCAAACCACACTTTCTCAAACTCCCACTCTGTATCAGTAGCTCTAGGCATGCTCTCAGAGCAGAGAGCTGAGTTTGCCCTTCACACAGTCCTCCTGAGCTCTCCAACCACTATTCTGCAGGGTTACTTTCTCTCTTTAGAAATACTGCTACCAAGTGGAACCACTTTAAGCAGAAAGACAGAGCCAGACCCATTGTGGAATGCTGGTAGCCCTCTCTTGGAATGTTGGAAAGCTGGAATCTCAGTCTTGCTTTGGGACAAGAGGAAGAAGGATTTGAGAATCAGACCTTTGCCCCCAGGTAAGTGTGTTGACCTTATGGAGACAGTTTACACTAGGATGGATGTCTTATTCCAACAGCCTCTGGTGTTGGAGAGCGATCCAAGAAATAAATGTTCAGGAAACTGCCTGGCCAAAGCTCACAAGCTGGGTAAATGGACAGCTGCCTAACAGGTTAATGATGGCTCAGAATGTCAAAGGTTTTACAGCCTGTTTATGTCTACTGCTGGAAAAAGATAGGGCCTATGAGGAAAAGATGTAGAGTTACAATTGGTTCAAGACAAAGGACCAGGGAAGTCTGACACTCTAGAACCTGATCTGTATGTGACCAATTGCTCAAGAAGTTCAGAGAAAGAGTCTTGAAGCCATCAGCCAAGCCTCCCTGCTGCATCAGGAGCCCAGCAGAGCTAGAACACACAGGAAATGTGCTCCCATTCAGTGCAGCAGAACATGCAAGTTGCAGAGACTGTGGTACCTACCTTTAAAAGACTCAGCCCTTTTTTGACCTTGCATATTTTTAGGGGCTCACTCTCATAGAGACAGAAACCTAAAACTGTAACTCTTAGCTTCTTTGGAAGCCTGGCTGCCACCAACTACAAACTTGAAAAATGTGTCACTTTTTGTCAGTCAGATTTTACTGACATCTGATTATCAGATTGTGAATAAGAACAAAACAAAACTGTCAAGCCTGAGTTGGAAATATGAAAGATTCTGGGCACAACTGTAACAGTTTTGCATGCATTTATTCTCCCAGTGTTTGATGTGTGTGCATGGAAGTGCATCCTGTATTCACACATGCAAATCTCACAGTCTGCTACTACTTGAAGTTCACAAGTACAAATGTGAACGTGAACTTAGAAGTGTCATTTGGAAAGAGGGCGGATTTGCTGTAATATTTTAGTCCCACATAGGATAAGGTGTGTTGGCTGTGAAGAAGCGTAACCCTTACTTCTCTGGAACAAAAACCCAGTGGGTTAAGCCCAAATACAAAGTCAAGGCAATACTAGGATGGATACTGCCACTCCAATGACACAGTTCAAGGCCATGAGGCAAGGCTGTGCTGCAGAGCATTACACACACACTTCATCAAGAAAAAGGTGACCATAAACACTGTAAGTCTGATTTATGAATACATCTCAATAGGAACAAGCCATATGTACATGAGCTTCTAAAGATGTCCTACCACATTATCTCAATTTAAGGAAACATATATTTTTAAAAGCTATTTTAAAATAAAAACGAAGCTGATGTGTCCTCTTTAAATAGCTTAATGCAAGATCATCCAAAGGTGAAATACACAGAAACACAGTTTCCAAACCTTTTGAATATTTTGTGCAAGTCAGTTCATGTGATGTAGTCAATTATGTGTGGTCAAAGGTGATAATGATTGCAGAGTGGCTCAATTTTGAAAGTGAGGTTAACAAAATAATAGGAGACTGAGGTACAGAAAAGGTCCAAAAAACGGGGCACACAGAGCCACGCTATCTATGAAACCCAACATCTAGGTATGTGTTATTTGTTGTTTCAGATTCCTGACAAGGTCCCTTCTGTAAGTTTGAGTAGGAAGGACTCATAGTACCATCTTCACTTATTCATTGTCACTTATTTCCAAAGCTGTCAATTACTCACTGCTTGATAGCTAATTATTTACAAAGAGAAACAAAAACCAGCTTTGCATTCAACCCTTCTGAATAAACTCAGCTAAGAAAGATTTTTCAGTAACTTTCAATTCTGATAGTATAAGCTTCTACTTGTGGTCCTAAAGGTACATTCTGCAGAAACAAAAGGTTTTTTTTTTTCCCCAAGGTGGAAAAAATCCATCACACACCAGTGGGGGTACAGTCTGCCTAAAGCAGACTGTAAATAACATTGCAATTGTAAAATAAGTGCAATAATTTTCTGTAAGCAGAAAAATTCTGTAGTTGAGAATAGAATTTAGTAAGCACATCCCTTACCAGGCAACTTTTCAGCTTTCTCCTTCATATTATGGTCCAATAAAGCATTTAACAAAATGGCTGACTGTCCCAAGTATTACTTATGTTCATCCTGCAAAACAAATACATGTTCTCTGTTGAGTCCAGGTAAAACAAGTCACCACACACTTGGGGTCCTTGTGCAGAAAGCCATTTATGGTATTAAAAACAGCAATATCCAAATCCAAGAGAAAATCAGTCGAAAATACTATCAAAATTGCTAGAACCGTTCCCAGAAATGAAATGACTTTCAGAAGAGTGGGAAGAAGCATGCATTCTTTTTCTTCCTATACCAAAACAAGATGTAATAAAGGTATTAGAAGGAATATCATTTATTAAGTGGGGGTTTTTGTGCGAACATTCAGAATCCTCCTCACTATCAAATGTCATGCAATACTATGATTAAGTCAAGATCTATCCCTTCAATCCCGACCACCTCCTGCTACTGGCTGAGCATCATCTGTTCCCATTGCCTTCAGGAGGACTGAGCGGCGCTTAGCACTTCTGCAAAACCAGGCCCTAGACAATGAAGGCTTCTGGTATGGGCTTCCTATTTCCTGCAGTGGATTTGTGTAGGTGGCTTTGTTACCAGAAATCCATACTCCTACACAGCAACTTCTGACTGTGTTTCTGCAGAAATGACTATAATGAAAGGAATGAAATATTTTTAAAATAATAATCATGTCTCTGTTTCTCCAAACCAATTAGGGTATATCTCCTGCTGGTGAGATTAATTTATTCACCTCCTGGGTCACAAAATTAAGTGTAGAGTAGAAAACAACAGGATTAAGATTTGCAGAGGCACCGAGGCTTCGACTGCCACATGCATGAGGAGGCAAGAGCCCGTCTGGACTGCCTCATCTCCATGGCCAGCAGCTGAGTCACTGCCCAGCCTGCAGAGCTTCTCACTGCTGCATTTTGCAGCCAGGAAAATCCCACATCCTCCCAGCGGGTGTAGGAAATGCAACCACAGCCTCTGGACGTGCCAACACCAAAAACAAAGGGTGACTGTGGAGCAGGCAGCTCCGTGGACTGGAGGCCAGCATCCCATCACCTTGATGATGGGAGCCCAGCTCCTGCAGCACAAAGACATGGGTGCAGGAGCTGCCCACTGGTTTCGCAGCCTTGATGCTGGTAAGGTATGTGACCAGCACTCAGTCCCCCACTAGGATCTGCTGTGGCCCTTGGGAAACCACCTCTCCCGTCCCGTCCCGTCCCGTCCCGTCCCATCCCATCCCATCCCATCCCATCCCATCCCATCCCATCCCATCCCATCCACATCTCCATTCTTGCCTGGAGAAGGTGTGGATACCTCAGCCCCGGAGGCACTGAAGGCCAGGTTGGATGGGACTTTGAGCAACCTGACCTGGTGCCTGGCAACTCTGCCCCAGCAGGGAGTTGAAACTAGGTGGGCTTTAAGATCCCTTCCAACCAAAGGCGTTCTATGATCCAGTTTCTCTGCTCTTTAGTAAGGGGCAGGTTGCAGCCACCCCTTGCTTATGTCCCCTGCAGCCCCTCCAGCCCCATGTGGAGCTTTCACCTTCACATGCAGAGACTTACTGCAACCAAGCCTTGCCGCACTGGGGCAGCCAACGTAGCCTGGTCAACTTCAGGGGAGATCACCAGAACACTTCTCCTGCCTGCCACTCATCTCTGCTGAGGTGGGCGCAATGAGCCAAGCAGATTTTCATCTATAGGTTTGCCAGTACTGTCTGAACACTGCCAAATGCTGCTTCAGACAAGGGCTCCACAAGCCCACTTCTAGAAAAGCAGCTGGAGATGCTGCTCACAGATCTGTATTCCTTCTGTGAGTTCCCCACAGCACTTCCCGAGCTCACACTTACGGTGCTTTTACTCAAAGCAGACCGCAAGCATCCTGGGTCAGACAGAGCTTGCTCCTCCAGCCTAGGGCTAACTTTAGCTTTTGGGAAGGAAAACACACAAGCAGGCTGACAGGGGTTTGCCTGGCTGTCTGGGCAAGTGCTCCAGACAACAGCTCCTTTGAGAAGCTGCTCCTGTGCAGCTGACAAGAAGAGACCTGCCATCCCTGAATGCATGCTCACACATGCAGGTGGCAGCAGAGCGGGCACCAGAGGTTGCCTCAGGGACATACCCAAACAACCTCTGTCAGTCCTCTGCAGTATGAGCCTTCCACAAAGCCTCCAATGGCTTGAGAGCTGCTTAGAACCAGCACCAGCTCCCAGCCATCCCCACCACACAAACACAACTCCTGGCCGGCACCACGCACCACACCTCCTCAGCAGCCTCCCATCCCTCAGAGTGCTGCCCTGTGTCTCCAGCACTGCCTCTCTGCACTGTTTAACTACTTGGGCTTTCCCTAGGAAGGTTAAGAAGCAAGCGCTGTGCAGTAAACAAAGAAGAGAAGAGCTTTTCTGGCATCCATGCTCTGTCGTATTTGTTCTGTGCTCATACTGCATGAAATGGGAAAGCAGAGACGGGGGAAAATAGTTACACCTTGAAGGGAAAAAAGAGACCAGCCTTTCGTAGCCACATCTCAGCACACATCCACTGCACGCAGCACATGCTGCCTAGTCTTCCATCAGGTGAGCTAAAAGGTGCGTGCATATTTTTGGAATTAATTCCTTTCTACAAGCTGGAGTTAGAAAGAACTGATATAAATGAGTAGGATGTGAGATGCTGCCTCATTGTCCTCAAGTTCAAAAGTTTATGATGGCTTTTGAACGCTACTTGAAAATGTAAAGATGGCAGATGATTTCCCTTTAAACTACAAAATAATCCATTTTTAAAAACAAAGCACTGACTGAAACTGAATCTATGTATTTAATGGAAAATGGAGTCTAGGACAGTATCTTTTGTGGCATAGTTGCCACCCTGAAACTTCTGTAGTTCAGAAGGTAGCATAAGTGTTTGACAGAAATGAAATTGACTCTTACTTCAGCAATTTCCACTGAGAAATTGGCTTGTCCAAGGCACTATTGCTTTTTAAAAAATTACATCAACTTCAGTAGATTTTACTTGATAATGCTCACTGAGTTCCTAGTAATTACCATTATTTATTATTTGCATATGAAATTTTAGGGACTATCCAAGCAGAACAGTATCAGCCCCATGCCCTAGAAGGCCTTCAGCCACAGGTGAAGACAACTGAAAATGAACAGTACAGCAAAGAATACATAAGGCATTACTGGTCTGAAATCCAAGGAACATGAACATCCTTCTGATGTTCATTTCCTAGAACAGGGACATTTCCCAAAGGCATAAGAAAATTGAAATTGGAATGCTTTGGAAGTATTAAAAAAAATGTACTCCTAAATATGCAGTAGGAAAGCAGTAGGTCCTTGGAGAGTGGATCAGGATGAAGCAGAAGGGAACATACTGACAGTGAACAGGACGGCCAGTGAGGCTGAGCTCATCATAGCCAGCCTGTGCAAACAGTCTTGCATTTAACATGACAGAGCAGAGGGATTCCACAGAAATTATTTGAGCAGTGGGAAGACTTAGAAAATTAGCACAAAATGACTATGTGAAAGCCAGAAAGAATCCTGCAACAGAAGACAGACAAGAGGAAAGGCTTGGTTCTGTGAATAAAACCTATACGTGATTGAATAAACACATCCGGATTTAAACACCATTTGTATACAGAGCAATTCCTGTCAAAGATGATGAAGCCCAAGTTGCAAGTCTGATGGAGAAACAAAAGAAACATGATGCTGAGGGTTTAATACTCAGTGATCCAGTACAGCCAGAGCTCACATTTCTGCAGGCGTCTAATCCATGTTGTGGATCAGCAGTGCTGCAAATGAGGAGGCACTGGAGAAATCCTTGAGCACCACCAGCAGATTCAGGCATAGGTGGTACAAATGAAGCTGCACAACCCCCTAGGCTTGCAGGTCCTTTTGGGCAGGACTGCTCCTAAATCACCAGCCCGCTGATTAGTCACTGCCATGTCAAACCATATGGGTGTTTTTACCTGGGGCTGCTCAGAAGTTAGGGTTCCAGGAGCATGTCACCACATTATTTGCCCATCTTACTCCAGGCTCCTACACGTGAATCATTGACAAACCAATACTGCCATCAGAAAAAAACATTCATCACAGTTTTCCCCATCTGAGACCTCTTGCCAGGGAAGGAATCGCCAACAGCTCCTTTCAGTTGGTCAGTCTTTGTGTTTACAATGACTGGTGTTGCTTGGCTATGCTGCACACAGCCATTCCTTACTCTTTAGCTGAATGACAATGCTAAAATGCTGAATGGGAGCTGCTAAAATGCTGAATGGGAGCAAACAAACAATACATCCTCCACATCTCAGAGATCTGATAAGTTAACAGCAAACACACATGAGCAAAAAGCAGGGAAACAGTCCTCTGGTTTTCTGAAACTAACAGAAGATTTCAGGAATTGGCTTTGGATCTGGCAAGCTGAGGAGTTGTTTTCTACTCTTCATTTGTTTTTTGAGCTTCTTCAAGGGCATATTTCCTGCTTTATTCATTTATAAGAAGCTGACAACCCATACACAATAACCCACTAACAACTTCAGCATCATACGTTAAACAAAAGAAACACAGAGTGCACTGTTGGTCAGTAGAAGCATTTAAGACTGAGTGAAAAACTACAACTCTCATCACTTGGCTTAGGCTCTCAATGCACATTTGTGCAGTAAATTTATTCCAGTTGTCAGGCTTTCCATTTGACCTTTTAAACAGTGGCATGCAGCACCAGTCCTTTTGCAGCCCCACATCTCTGTCGTCAGTGACTCAGCAGCTCATCGGATACCCCGCAAAGTCTGCAGGCACACAGGATTATGTGGTTTTCAGTGACAATTTTCCATTAGCGTTTTTTTTACTTCTAACTTAAATCAGCCTGATATTAACAAGCAAAAGATGGAAGCCTTTGATAATGTCTTTTTCAGCAGACCAGATGGGATACGTTAATTAGAATCGCAGAATCATTGAGGTTGGAAAAGACCCCCTAAGATCTTCCAGTCCAATCACCAAACCATCTCCACCACACACGCTAAGCCTGTCTCTCAGTGCCACATCTCCACGTTTCTCCACGTTTCTTGAACACCTGCAGGGTCGGTGACCTCACCAC